TATTACCTGTGTAAAATTCCACACACAGTATCATATTGTCTGTGGTATATGAAAAGCTTCATCGATGAAATAAATGGTTGAATACAATTGAGATATAAGAAAAATAATATAGTACTTGTAATGAATAACGTTAATGTGGAATACATAAATATTTTATATTTTAATTTCATGTAATCGAGATGAGATAAGACACTCATGATTATTTTAAAAATGTGTCGATAAATATCATGTAACTTCAATAGCTGCACATTCGTCAAATTAATCCTATTACGTTAAATGAATCACAGCAGCTTGTTTTAATTTAATCTAACTTAACCAATTATATAATATGCTCCTCATTAAAATGTGTAAAACTGTACGTCGCACATTTAATACGATTAATATACTACGTAATAAAATGTAACACACTAATGAAATAATTAAATATTATTGTTGAAAGCATCATAAAATCCAGGCAGTATACGCTTGTATTTACATTCGACATCCAAAGCACTGAGAGGTTAGGTTAGGTTAGGTTAGATCGAAAAATTTATCGTTTAACAGTTGGCAGCCCTACGAGATAGGCTGTGCAGCACTGCGCGTATATAAAATAAATTTGAAATCACTTCTAGCCTAACCATCTTCACGCGATCGACTTTATTTGAATTGCACGGCATCGTATCGAATTATGATGTGGCGCCGATTTGTTCGAACGTAATTCGGGACACCGCGATGCTGTATAAGCGTCGAAAGAGCACGAATTGTCACGCAAATATGATAAATCAAATCTATTCACCGGCTGTTCCACAGGCCGCTCCTCGGAACAGTTCGCTCGCCTCGTGACGTCCCATTCCGATCTTGATGCACACAAACTCACGATATCATCAACGCGAACACACGACACTTTATTCGGCACTCCCGATACTTGCTCGCATCCGATAATCATCATCAAGGGCGTGAATAATGCGACGCAACTTCGCTCCATCTTCGCTATCGCGCTATCACTGAACTGTGAAAAACAGTTGTCGCGCACTTTCACCGACATATTATGAAAGTCCCACGATCATCCTTGGACACTCTCGACGCTCGTTCACTCGCGATATTCGTTTAAAAACGGTTAAAAGACGCGAAAAATGCGGACGTACGACGATCCGTGTAACTGCGTATGACTCCGATTCACGCGCAAACATGGCGGCCGTATGACGCGTTTGACGTAGCAATGACGTAGCAGTCACGCGCCAACATGGCGGCCGAACCACTGCGCAATCGTTTCTGGGCATGGCATTCCTGCGTTCAACGTTCGCGCAACTTTGATTTCTGAATATTGTCTACGGCTTTAATTAATAGCACATAATGATAAATATATAAAGATGGTATCAGTTAATCATATTGGTCATATATGTAGACTTGCCCGAAGAAAGAGAGAAAAAAATTGAGAGATATTTTTAATTTCTTTTTTTTTTAGTAAAGGATGGAAATGTTTATTCATAGGCTTGTTCTTGTTTTCCTCTTTCGCGCAATTTCGATTCAATATATAACGTAGAAAATTCACAGTATATTGCATTTATTTTTATATATTTACAACTATATTATTCGCGCGATAATTTTTTGACATTTACGATTCTGCTTACATTGATAATGATTTAGCATTTATTTGCAAAATATAATTCTATAAAATATAATAATACATAATTGTATGTATTTTAAGAGAGAATATAACATACATATATTATATTAAATATCTTATATGAATACCTTGTTTTTTTTGCATAAAATTATAAAGAAATTAAGAGATATTTAAAACATTTTTATACTATAACAATTTATTTATTTCTTTGAAGCATAATTCTACACGAGATATATACATAATTTTATTTATGCATAAGTATTTGTTAAGAGAATATAACATATGTATTATATTATATTTCTTATATAAACTTTTTTTTTATATAAAATTATAAAAATAAAAAAAAAATACTCAAAACATTTTTAAGAAAGTATCAGGAAACAAAAAATAAAATTGGAGGATGTTTTGCATATACTTATAAAATATTGTTTAATACTTATTCTATTTGTTTATTTGAATGTTATTCCAATATCAGAACCATTTCTCTATGACTGGGTGGACCATCTCCAGAATACAGTATTATATAATACATATTATATATATATATATGTATATATATATGTATATATATATATATAGAAAGAGAGAGAGAGAGAGAGAAGATGGGACGGGAAACATTTATTTATATAAATATCGTGAGTCTAATATTAACTTGAAAATGAAGATAAATATTTTCATAAAAAAATTTGAAACAAATATATTAAGATAACCATTTCTCTCGCTATTATATACTCTTGTATTATTTTTTCCATATACTTGTATAATTTAAATTTATATTCTATTTGTACTTGTGTTACAATTATTCAAATTAAGTACGCGCCCATTTCAAATTGTACATACGTAGATCTTTCTCAAATTTCTTACATATTTCCGTGCATCGGCGTTTAAAATCTTTGTAAAAAATGCCGAAAATAAAACGTCATTAATCGTAGCAGTTAACGTAGAAGGTACGTTTCATTTTCATCACGATTCCTCGCTCGATTTTTTGTCGCCAAGTTTTTTAACGCAACGAAATTTCAACCGCGCGCCGTGCGCATGTCCGCTCGGCCGCCATGACACTTTCAACGACTAGTGCGTGTCGCGCACGGAGCGCAATAGCTCCGTGAATAATCGCGAATTTTATCCGTTACAAGTGTATAACGAGTGCGAATTTCTGTCGTGAGTGTCGATTAAAGTAACGGGCGATCGTCGGAATGTATCGAGTATGTATGTATGCCGCGAATCTTTGCTATTAATGGCGTTTCGGCGATCGCGATTCGTGCTGCGTACCACGGTTTGAAATCGCCATTTCGAGTGAGCTGATAGATTTCGATGTCTGAGATACGCGAAAATGAGCTCTACGTTTCTTCGAAACTCGCGTATCTTAGCCTGTTGTAAATTGAAAGAAAGTAATATCGGTGAAATACGCTTGTTCTGTTAGATATTGCGCATTAGGTCGCACGGGATAAATATACGTGATCGTCGAACAGTCGTCGCTCGTCTCCTTCGCTCATTATGCGTATGCTGTGTTAAACGTATATAGCAATAATATATTTTGTAATCTTCTATTTATTACGTGCATAGGGGAAGTGCATTTTAACGCGTTTGCGTTTCGCGCTGTGAATTCGTGTTTCGAAATAAGTGAATAAACTTTCTGTGAATCAACTTTGAATCCAAAGTTCATCCGACAGAGTGCGCGTTTCCGATCTTCGTCGCTAGCAATACGAGGCAATTTCCGGCGGAAGTACCACAGGTACAGTAAACTGCACTATTTCCAATTCGACTAGCAACAAATTTATTCATTATTTAAATGTGTATTTTAGCTCAAAAATATAACACACGTACAGAGAGAATTGTAATTAAGATATTTATATATATATAAAATATATTTAATAAATGAAACATTTAATAATTTTTATACATAGTAAAATATTTATCAAATATTTGTTAAATTATTTTTGAATATTTATTAAAAATGAATTGAATATTTATTTTTGTCGAAATTAAATAAATATTTATTTTATTTTATATATAACATAACAATTATATTTTAAAATAAGAGAATAATTAAATAATATTAATTATTAATTTGATTTAATTTTTATTTATATAATTTAAATAAGGAAGAATTAAAGAAAAAGATTTTTATATAAAATCTATAATCTTGTAAAGATATAAGCTTTTATAAAGTTATTAGAGAATTATTAGTAGTTTTTGCTCTAAAATTTATAGAATTATTTTATTAATTTGCTATTATTACATGCATCGTATTGCTATTATTATATGCATCGTATATAAAATCTTCTATGTATACAATAATTTTTGAAATATTAATTATTTTGAATGTTATTACAATTTAACTTTTCTATTTATATGTTATAGATCGACACAGCAACCTGATCTGAGAGGAAGAGCAGGCTTAGGAGAAGCATCCTGTACCTGTGGAGCAACCTGATGGTAAGTAGTCATTATTTATATTATATTGTATATAACTTTAATATAAATAAATAAATAAATTTTTAATTTGATTTATGAATGATTTAAGTAAGAAAAAATTGGGAAAATTTTTATAAAAATTCTTTCTATAAAAGTTTTTACTCTTAAAAATTAATTATTTATAAAATTATTGTATATCTACTTATAATTGAATTATTAATTTTATAAGTCTCTTACAATTTTCTATATTTCTTTCGATCTTCTTTTTTTTTCTTCAAAACTTTATCTCACATTGAATAGAGAAAATGTAACACAGTACAGAACAGATTTTTGTTTCAATATATGGATTGCCAATATGGCATAAGAAAAAGGCTCATTCATAGACTTATTCATTCATAGATACATATATGTATGATAAAACTAAAATTGGTCATATGATAAAAGATACAGTTGGAAATTCTACTCATAGATTAAAATAGTTTTTAATTAATTTTACGAATAAAATTTCCGTACGTATATATAGAATTATTTAATATATAGAATTTTTATACGTAAGGAATAGGAGTAATATATGTTTATGATATATGTTTATGAGATTTTTCTCTTTAGCACAAAATAAATAATCACGGTAATAAGTAAATGCTTGAAGAAAAGAAAGTAGATAATTAAATTTAAAGATACTTTAGAACTTTTTTTTAAAGAACTATCTCAATATTTTAAAATAAAAATTTTTGTTGGTAACGATATTTTTTTATTACAGGTACAATATATTTTTTTCTTTATTGCAATTATATACACAAATTTTGAATATAAAGTGGCTAATTGCTAAATCGACAAAGTCAGAAGCATTGTGATACGTTGCCTTAATAAAAAATAAAATGTTCTATATTAGTCAAAATAGCGCAGCTTCTGTACAGATTATATCAAAATTCTTTTTTCATGATATATATATATTTCATGATATATATATATTCATGATATGTATATATGCTATATATAATACAATATTTATTTTTTCTTAAGGCCTCATGTCTGTTTATGAAACATTTGTAATGACAGTTACAATTTTTTTGTTGCCTATTCTTTTGTTACTATATTTACAATTGTACATATAATTTTTTTGCCTTGTTGATGATTTAAAAGATTCAATAGAGGATCTTGCATTTTTTGCTCTAATAATTTTGCTAATTCTATTCTCATTCTTTGCAAAAGTAGGCCCACCTGTAAATGTATAACACAAAGTTATTACATATTTAAAATAAACATTTTAGTTTTTCATGACAATTTTAATCTTACGTTGTGTGATTCCATCGCGAACATTATCCAACCATCATCCAGAGAAAGCATATACCTTCCATCGTGCATTTCCGTGCGTAATTCATAACTAGAGAATAATATTAAAGATAGAATTGGAATCATAGACACTTCTTTAATGAAAACTTGGCTAGTTTTGAACTTCTCTTGAAACACTAAGTACGGATTTATGAAATGTCCAACATGAAAATTCACAGATGATGGATGAATCTTGACAAAACCATCGTGTCTTGTCTTGAATTTTAATTCGTTTGGTTTGGGTCGCATTGGTATCATGCCAGTAGATTGCGCTTGAAATGATTTTCCAGGTGTGAAAACCTTTACGATGTTAGGATATAATGCAGCGCAGAGAAGACCCTGCAATAGCTTGTAATTTTCATTGTTGACATTTAATTCAGCTCCAGTGATCTCTAAGATATTATCAATCTTAGGTTTTTTCTTAGGTAAATCGATAGGCGCGAAACCGATCGATACCAACAACTCCAAAAATTGATATTTTATATCCGCTAAATGATGCAATGTTTGTATGGATAAATAATTTTTATCGGCGAATACTTTACCAGCATAAGTACTACGTGAACACGTGGCTAACCATTTCTACAAAAGAATAAAAGTTACATAAATAATGTGTCTCTCAAGCGAAATTATTAGATTAATTAGAAATAACTTTATTTCTAATGTTTACCTTATAAGCGTTAAGGACGGTTAATTGGTCCGATTCGGCTGTAAAGAAGTTTTTCTTAGGATCTATCTTGTTTATCATATCGATCGGTACGTTAAACGGACTTTTGTGAGATAAACATGCGGCGATAGTAAGCGCGGAATCTAAGCAGCAAAAAATGGCACCGTATAGTATTAATTTTCCGATTCGCACATTTACAGGTAGTTTGGCTAAATGATGACCGAGCGGCGTTAATACAGGTTCCGAATTAAAAGCGCCGACATCCTGCAAACGTATTATCGCGCTCTTAATATTGTCGATCGTTGGTGGTTCTATCATCTTCCCTGTTGGGAAAAGTTTAAAAAGGCATAAATTTTTGTGATAGATAACGAACATATACAGAGCAAATAAAAATATATAGAGAGATTTCCTTACCTAATATATCATATAAATCCACTTTTTTTCCTTTGTGCATAAGCTGAATATGTAAAAGTAGTGGTTCTAAGGGAATTCTTAGTATTTCTGGTATCGGTTGAGCACCAAAGTGATATTTGAATCTATAAAATATAATATATGCACTGTTATTATATACATGTACATATTATAGATTACTAGTTCAAAACAAAATGCTAAGATACATACCTACACGAAGTGTACAAATGGATGCACACTCCAGGCATTACTCGACCAGAACGACCCATTCTTTGAACAGCATTCGCTCGTGATATCCAGCAAGTATCTAAACTTGCCATATTTTGATTCGAATTAAATCTAGTCTCTTTCATCTTTCCCGTATCGATCACGAATACGCAATCGTCTATAGTTATAGATGTCTCAGCCAGATTTGTGCTAAGTACAATTTTGCGTACATCTTCTCCGGTCTTCTTAAATACAAGATTTTGCTCCTCATTAGAAAGACTCGAGTGCAAAGATACAATAAGAAATTTTTTATTCTTTGGCGAGAAATTATTATTATTATGTAATTGATTTTTCAATGCAAGAATATCACTCATACCTGGTAGGAATACCTGGAAATATTATATAAAAAATATAATATATGCGTATATAATATTCGTCAGAAATAAATAGGCAAATAGCAAATACAAATGCTTACTAAGATAGAACCAGTTTTAGGATAGACATGTTTTCCAAAAACAACCCATTCTAAAGTCTTTTCTATTAATTCAAAATTAATCTTCTCCTGATCCATAATGTATAAATTTTTATACGTTTGCTTGGAACAGCCAGGATATCTACTGATGAGTTGCATCAACGTCAAATTTTCGTCCTGAATAGATTCTTTGGGTGTGTCGTTGCACAATTCACCGATTTTCAATTTAGCCATTTCCAAATCGATTTCAAACTGATCCCAATCATATTTGATTTTACGAGTGAACTGAGTATTTTCTTCGAGAACATATTTGGTTTTTTCGAGCGCGTCTTCAAGGAAAATCTGTTCGACTGGAAAAGTTTTTCCCGGGATATTTAGAACTGGTACTTTTCCAAAATATGAGGAGAATATGTCGGCTTTAAGCGTTGCGCTCATCAATATTATTTTCAAAGACGGTCTTTTTGGTAATAATTCTTTTAAAAGCATCAATAAAAAATCACTGGAAAAAAGAATAGAATATAGGTAAATATCAAAGAAAGAAAGAGAGAAATATGGAACATTTACCTCTCGGCGCTTCTTTCATGCACTTCGTCAACTATAACATGAGTCACATCTGATAACTCGAGATTCCCCGATAATCTCTGCAATAGTATTCCCATGGTGCAAAATGTTAGTCGTGTTTTACTAGACATTTTACTCTCCAAACGTATCTGATATCCAATAGTATTTCCTATAGATTCATCTCTCTCAGCTGCCACTCGTTTCGCAACTCCTATGGCACTTATTCTTCGCGGTTGAGTGCATATTATATTAATATGAGACGTATTCTCTGACTGTGATCTATTAATAATCCAGTCATCTAAAATAAACTGAGGTACCTGTAACATTTTCACTGAATTTTTTGTTTTTTTTTTCATTCTGATATTTATTAATTAATTTAAAAAACACTGCAATATACCTGAGTGCTTTTGCCACATCCAGTTTCGCCAGAAATGATAACAATTTGATTTTCACGTATAATTTTCAAAATTTCACTTGTTTTAAGCCATGCGGGCAATTTTTTTCGTGTCTTCTGCATTTTTATGTAATTAGGATTTTTCTGTTTATCCCTAAAACTTATTGCTATCAAATCATCTTCCTCAATAATCTGTTCATAGGAGATATCTCTGTTTCTTTTACTGGTGCTACCAAGTTTGTAATGACTAGCCAGTTCTTCTTCCTTCTCTTCTTTCTGTTTCTTTGGGCACAATGCTTCATACTGATGCAAAAATTGTTCCTTATCTTCCTCCAAATAAGTTTTTATCTCATATTCATTTTCTAATAGTGAAATTATAGAAAATATTGACGGAATGCCATCAAGAGATAATAACAAGGCTTCATTGTGCAATCTTCTTGCTATCCTGAGACATTTTAGACGTGGAAATATTTCATTGTTCTTATAAAAATAAAAATACGGTGGTTCATATGGATATTTACATCCTGTAAATATAATAAAATAATGTTGTAATTTTACAATTTTATTAATTAATGTCATATAGGTATATTATTTTCTTAAAATAATTCTAACATGATTAACTACATAATATAATTTAATTAACATAATTAATTGAATGTATACCTTCAGGAAATCTTATCTCTAGCGTGAAATATGAATCTTTTAGAATTGGCACATTTGATACTTTCTGTGGTAATTGGTGTAGAAATCTGCATTTGTCTTTAAATCTGCACTTATTATGAATGAAAAGTTGACATACTTTTTTTTCTGGCTTTTTCTCTTCTGGTTTTTTTGCTACTGGTTCAATTTGTTTACCATTTGTTAAATAATCTAACTTTAATTGTACTATCCAAATAGAATTTTTTATTTTTTCCAAAAAAGCATCGCCATAAATTGATTCGAGTGCTACCTTTTCTTCCTGCTGTCTTTCTAATAATTCAACAGCATCCGGAATATCAAGATTTTTATTTTTTTGAATATTTTCAATTCCATAGTATTTGTAAAACAACAGTTCTAAAGATTTTCCTAAATTGCCTTTTGTATATGTTAAAGCTTGTATACAATGTGAAATATGAAAACTGCAAATAAGAAATATAATCTTTATATTATATAAAGAGATACAATAATATTATTTTAAACAGTATATAATAATATATTATTTTGAAACAGTACCCATAGCTTTCTAATTTAGATGTTGCAAATTGTTGTGTTATTTGATCCTGAGTCTTTAGTGTAGTATCTTTAGAAGAATAATCTATTATTCCTTTGACAACTAAATTACCTTGTTCCATCCAATATTGTTTGTCTAAATTTGATGTTTTGTCCACAAGCTCTGTAGTATCAGCAAGTTTAAAATTCTGCAAAGAATTGAGAAATTGTACCAATTAAGGACAATATACAAACATATAAAGATGATTTATCTTTGATACAAACATAAATCTTTGATTAAAAGTTGACCTATCTTTGATAACAAACATAAATAGTATTTAATAAACAGGAATATATATTTACATTTCCATAAATATGCATAAGACTATCGTAAAGCTGTTGCTCAGATTCCTCAGATAATTTCAATATTTGCATTTCCACTTTGAACTTGTCAGAAAATGAGAGACTGGAATTTGTAGATTTGACATCTTTTTCCTTATTGCTTTTTACAGATGCACTTCTATCATACGTACATATAAACATATTGAAATAAATTTAACATTCTTAATATTTCTTTGATAAAAATATAAGAAGAATATTAATATATTTATTTATCTTCACTTACGTGTTCGTTTTGGATATATTTTTTGTTTCTAATACATCATCTTCCATCAATTGCTTACTATGATAATCCATTTTAAATAAATAGTTGTCTATAAAAAAAAATATATATATATATATATATATATTCTTTTCTCTTAAAAAGATGTTTAAGAGATATGCAACGTGACAACGTCGAGTCTGTTTACTATTATTAACTGCTATTAATCAACTTGACGCAATTAACAGCAGTATGAGATAACAACTAAACCAGAGATCGCAGGATTAAGGGCGCATTCACACCTTAAAAGCAGGTAATAAGCAGTGTGTAAGCAATACATTAGATAGGCAAAAAGTAAAAATTGTGATTACCAGCGCGAGTTCTGATTGGTTTCTGCTTTTCTGCTTTTCTGCCAAGATATGAATGTGTCCTAATAAAGAGGCACGACACCTCTATTACGTATATCTCATTCTTCTCTCTAGTCTCTGGCATGAATGCCCACGCTATGAATGGAGGGGGTAATGGACATATGAATCGCTCATATGACTGTTACCCCCTCCACTTACGGTTGCGTGGTGCTAGCGTGGGCATTAAGTGGAGTATGTTGCGTGATTTTTAATTCAGTGTTTATTTCTCGGTAAAGAAAAAAACGTTGTCCATCAATACACAGGATATACTCTGATAAGAGGTAAAGAGAGTATTAAAGTCAGAGACGATTGAATGCTTTGACAATTAAAAGTTGACCTATCTTTGACAATGTAAAAGTTAACCTATCTTATACAGTGTTACTTTTAAACGATATTAAGCTGGAATTCTTGAAAAAACATTAATAGTTTTCTTAGACTATATTTTAAATTTAATTTATACTTTAAATTTTAAATTTTTCGACCTCCAATGTATTTATCAATTCGCTATTTAACCAGCAGACATCAATGGCATCTTCGTGTATGATATTGCGACGTGGTATCGCAACTTCTTGCGTTTGTCATGGGAAACGAAATTTTCGAAAATTCCTACTATACAATAAACGAGGGAGTCGTAATTTTAAAATGCAACAAGCGAAAAATCCAGATTCTGATATACCAATAGATAGTGAGTTAACATGTTATTATTTAGAGCAGACTTAGTTTCATCTTTTTTCTCACGAGATTATTTCGTAAATAAATGAATGCAAAAATAAAATATATGAATCCACACATAAAATACAGTCTTTTTTGTATGCAAAATAGATTACAAAAATACTAATGACTTGGAAAGAAATTGATTACTTGAAACTTGCAGTCTCTTAATAAAATAAAATAAAATAAATTTACAATATACATGTAGTAGAAAAATTAGAGATATTATACACATAATAAAATAAAATATCAACACATATATATACTAATTACAATAAATTTTATAGAGAGAGGTGTAAGAGATATTGGATACAAAATAGATGACAGATTTGTTATTGTGCCAGAGATGATTCCTGAATTGATTGTTCCTTCATTGGAAGGATTCACTTTGAAACCATATGTATCGTACAAAGTAGAGATGTTTACAGAACCACAATTTACCGCACAAGATTTATTTGATGCAGTATATTCTAAAAAAATAAAAGAAGATTTTACAAATAATCAGTTGGACGAGAAAGGAGAGCCAGTGAATCCTAACGAGTATGAAAAGCTTACACCGCAACAAGCTAAGGATAATGCTAGCAAAACAGGCTGTGACATTTTTGACGCTAACAAGCAATTGTAAGAATTTTTACTTTTTAGTATTTATGATTCTCTAATGTATATTTTTCTCTCTTTTATGTTAAAATAAAGAATCTGGAATATACTCTAGTCAGATTAATATGGATTTCAGTCTGTATATGTTTTATTTATAACTCGCATGTATACATACGTTCACAATTTTGCAATTTTTACAAAAAGTAACTACTTACTATCGTATATGACTGTTAAAAGTGATATTATGTGCACACTTTGCTAGAAGCATGAGAAAAACAGAATTTGATTTATTGTATACATATATAAGCGACCTATCTCAGATCAGTTTTTTTTTTTATGACAAGTATATGGCAGTCAGTGCTTGATAGCAAATAATTACTTCCATTATAATCTCTAAACATATTACATTTTTATCTAAAACAATATAGCTTATATATTATAAAACAATAGTATATATCACATATATAATTGTCGCAAAATCTTCCGCGAGAGTCATGTAGTTGAGTTTACGCAATGCTCCAACGGACAAGTGAAATTAATTTATTGCTATTATAAAACACAACGCTTACGTTGTACCAGTTTTTGTCTTATACAATCCAAAGGACTTGTAAGAGTCCAAAAAAGACAAGTAATGCCAAAAGTTGATTTTCAATTCCTGAGATTCATGGATATCTTGCGTGTCGATGAATCCGTTTGCGGATAATAAATTTGTGATTAGGCTAACTTAACAGTTATGTTTTACTTATTAAAAGATTTTTGAGCGAAGTTTGATTGTTTCCTGTCGGGTAAAAAATAGCGAAAAATTCGAATAGTAAAATCGTTGTCAGTTGTGCGCGGCCGGTATTGCTTACTACTGACTAGATTACTAGATTCTAATAATATATGTCTGTGTGTATATATATTGTTTTTTTTTAAGTGCTGTATTCATATCAAACGTACAAACGGCCTTATTGTTTCTCTCTTCAACATTTTCTAATAATTATAATTATGCGAAAAGCTCATAAAACGGAGCTATTGAAATAGAAAATATTCTGTTTAGAAGAAATCATATTTAAAGAGTGTATCGGTGGATGTTTATGAAAGACACTTGTATAAAAGTAGTGCAGCTGTTAATGCAATGTTATGGCTATAAATATTTCTAGAAAGAGATAACGTATACAAAATGTTAGTTAACTTATGCTTATGTAGGAAATCGATCACATAAATCATTTATTCAAACATCTTTTTCAGAATGCAGCACTCTTCTGATACACGTTAGTTATTACTATTTACCGCTAATATTATTGTTTTCTGTTATTATTTTCTATCTCCTATAATCACCATTATGAAGAGTGGAAGAGAAAAACGTCTCTAATTTTGTACAGTGGAACGCTTATTGAGAAAACACGATGTTCTAATCTTTTTAACCGGCGCGTCTTATTTCCACTCTTCCATTAAATCAATGGAAAAACGAAAGTGGCATAGTACTTGTTTTGCTTTGCTAAAAAAATTTTAATTATATCTCAGTATGTTGCTCTTGTCTTTTGTGTATCGTCGATATTTCGTTTTTCATATCTTACTCTACAACATATTTATAATATCTCGTCGACGACTTGAGCATTCATATATGTCTCTCGCTTATTGGCAGTACAGAATATCCTCTAAGGATTTATATTGCGATACATATTGTTTTGTTATTGATTTTGTATATTTGAACGGTTCCAAAAATGAACAAGCTTTGCAAAGGTTCCAAGCTTTCTAAATCTATTTGCAAATTTGTTAATTAGAAACTTTGCAATTTCTCTCTCTCTCTCTCTCTCTCTCTCTCTCTCTCTCTCTCTCTCTTTCTCTCTCTCTCTCGCATTCTCAATAGCGGATGCTGTAAAACAAGTCATATGCCACTCGCTCTTCAACTGAACTTGGTGTTTCGCTTTAATTATCAGTCTATGATATAATTGGATATTTGACCGATAAAATATCAGTCATTTTAATAAGGCAGGTACACGTGTTACTGTATGACAAAGATTACTCTGCATGAAGAACTTCTTTTTTTTTCAATGCTAAATATACGTATATTTATTCTCCGTATATTTATTCATGCAGAGAAACATACAGTACAATAGCGATAACTTTGTAAAACAGCATTGTAGCAAACAACTTATATATGAGACATTTTATACAATGTTTAATGCGCTTTTGTCAAACTTGATTTGCACCGACGTTTCGAATCGGATCGATAAAAAGCACATAAATGTAAATCTTTGGCATTCAGTAACATGTACCGTACATCTAATCAGAGATCTTGAGTATGTAAAGAAGTATAATTATTACAGATGAGAATAAACATTTTACTAAATTCTTTATATAATATACATCTTAATATTTCTCTCTATTCGATGCAAAATGATATGCAACTATGTTAATAAAAGTCAACGTGGAAAGACTAAGGGAGGGAATACTGCTGAGAGTAATAGTTTATGCAATTCAATTGGTTTTTCATACGCAAGATCTCGAGATAATTACTAATAATGATAGAGCGGAGGCTTATTCCATTGGATCCCCTACATTTTCGAAGATGGTTGAATGTGGATTGCTGGTAGTGGGCCACAAGAAACCACCTACACTGCCTGGTGGTAAATAAGATGCGCCTCCGCTAAGGCCCACCTAATATATTTTATATATTACATCAATTATTTAATATCTCTATAGCATAGTCTATACAATTTCGTTTTTTTTTTATATCTTTATATCTATATACACACGAGAATACAAAATGTGCTAAGCAAAATAATATGGAAGCATTGTGGGATATAGACACACTCCAATTTTATATTATAATAATGAAGTATTTTATATAGGATATATAAGTGTTGTGTACAAAAACACGCAATTGCTTAATTACATTGATGCGACAAATGTGGAAAGATGTAAAAATCTGATTTTTTTATTCTAATCATATGTGTAGCACTGAGGAATATTTGTTTCATGTAAAAATTAAATCCATCACGCGTATGATTATACAATAATAATTTTTATGCATAATTAATTTATTAAATATTTTTTTAGCTTGAAGTGCGTTTAAATTCAAATTACTAACTACACATATAAGTAATTTCATATTAAGGATTGGTTTTTTCATGCAGTATAAGGCAAACTAGAATAAAAGATAACTGCCAAATTAAAGAAAAATAATCATTTATTTGCATTTAACATAAATAATTGTGCTAATAAACCGCAGGTACTAAATAACATTTTTTATATAGGTACTAAATAACATTATGTACATTGGTTCATTATTGTAAATGTATGTAAAGCATTTACAATAATGTCAAGACACTCTCAATAAAAATCTTATCTTCTACATTGAGTGAACTATGTACAAGGATTTTCCAGCTTTTTATATTACGTATCGATTAATTTTATTTCCATCAACTAGAGAATGTGTAGAAATCACAGTCCAATTGTAAAAAAATTCACCAATAGCTATACATGTCGTTTCAATCATAGATTTGCCTGATCTAGCCTTTCTATCCTTACACTGTAGCTTCTTTATGAATTTACCTGTTGGCTCCATATTAGCGATCTCTCCGTTAATTGACAGTCCGCTGCCAATCGGGATGGTAGACTCTTCCACCTTTCCTCGTCCCGTTTCCTGCTTCTATCGAAGTCTCTGTCATGTCCCTGAGAGAGAGGCGGCAAGATCTGGGTTCGTTGCGCCAGCTTGTAGCTGTCTTGTCTCGGTACGTGATCGACGCGTCTGCTGGTACCGCTACCGCTAGTTGAAACTGGGATCGGGGTCGGACTACCGCCGCCTCTGTGCCGATGATACAAGTTACGCTTTTGCTGCAACATCCGCTGCTGCACTAAAAGCTGCAGCTGCGTGCCCGAATCGCCGCGCATCTTAAATTGCTGCTGATTATCGGGTGATGTGGACGGTGGTCTAAGATGGACTAGATCCAAGTGACCTCGAGCTTTTCCCGAATCTGAAAACGATTAATTGTTTCTGCGTTATTCCACGTGAATCATCAGATAATCTCAATTAGAGCATATTAAAGATCAAACGCGACGCGTACCTTGAATACTTCTCTGCTTGGACGGCCTATCGCCGACGCTCTGTTGACAGAAGAGTAATCTAGGTCCACCATCGGATGCTCTTCGTCCTTGAGACACCCGGGATATTCTACCAGTGATGGGAGATGGACTTTTGGGCGGTGGTGGCGTGCAAGACGGTAGGCTGCTCGTAAAGCAATTCGTCCCCGTATAATCTGGCGGGCAGCCAGAATCGAAGCTGGACTCGAAGAGTTCCGACGACGAGCTACCGCTGCCGCCCGCCATAAACAGGGTCGTTCGACTGGGTGGATCAATAGAATCCATAAGCGGGTTATCAAAATGATGTTGATAGTCACTTAATCTTCGATTGACTATCTGGCTGTCAATTCGTTGACTGATATCGTGATCTAGGCCTAATCGGTGCTCTTCAAGTTTGATCTGTGCTTCGCGCAACTCGTCGCCGCTCGGACCTTCCTCCAAGTCGCCCTCCGCGCTACAACAACCTTCATCGGTCGAGGAACTCGTCGAGCTAAATCTTTTGTTCCCTCTACCCGCATCGTCCCTTGCTCTGAAATAAAAAAAAAAGATTCGTCTCGTTGATATTTAAAAGAAGCGATTTGTCCTGCCATTAGCGGCTTCTTGTGATGATTGTATGAATGGATCGCCATTCTAAGCAGCATTGAAAAAATATTCATCAAAAGCGCATTCTCCTCATCATTTCATCTATGAACTTTAATTTATCATAATATTTCTTTCATATTAATTATAAAAAAATGTCATTAAGGAATAAAAAATTACCATAGACATATATTTTTTTATCCTGTTATATAGGAATTTTTAAAACAATCGATATACTTTGTTTACTTCAAAGTATTATATAAGTAGATTTATAATCAAATTTATTTGTAGGAAATTTTTTTAGATTATGTCCATCAATGCATTATATAATTAATATGGAAATCAATGCTTTATATAATTAATACGTCCACCAATGCATTATATAATTAATATGGAAAAAATATAAGAGAGATCACACAATGATATAAATATATAATTCCAATAATTAAAAACATATAATTCCAATAATGAATGTGCTTTCATTGGTAAATAAAGCAGAGCAAATAAAAATTACGAAATCAAGAATTTAAATAAATCAAATTAATTAACAGATTTAAGGATAAAGAAAAAGATAATAAAATGAAATGAGGAGTTACCAAAAATAAAGTGACAGCAATATGTGCTTCCAATCCAACCTGTCTTGATAAAATCTTCAATATGTGCGTCACCCATCAATAAAGTTCAACGTCCCACTAAGCTATCGCTGTAAATAAAAATTGATTAGTTAAGAGGGGCATTACATTATTTTCATACATCTCCGACTGGTAGGATTGGAAGTTACAGATTTCTCATGAAAAATCGGTACATTTAAAATAAAACTATTAAAAGAAAAAAATGTATGTGCAATAATGTGCTCAGTAAAAGAATGTCTATACCTTGATTTAAATTTATCTTCTTTTGTTCTTGCAGTAGACCAGCAGGTATTATTAATGGTGCTGACACGATGTTGCTTCAATCTTTCTAGCAGTAAGAAATAGATAGCAGCATGATGATCATAGCTGCTGTTTCGTAAAGACTGTTAAAAGATGACATTTATATTTATACGATATAATTGAAAATATTGAAATATATATATATACATATATATATATATATATATATATATATATATATATGTGCGTGATTATAATGTACTGAAAATTTTCTCTTTAATTTTACTAGACAATGCTGTCATTTATCTCGAAAATTATGCGTACGATACGATTTAATTAGAAATAAATAGATAAATGTACTCTTATATAATTTTACATAGAGAGAAAAAACTATAGAAGCACGAGAAATGTTTCCTTACCTCTCTAGTACGACTAATGTCTATTCCTAAGCTGTGCATTAATCGAAGTATTTGCTCATTTGGTTCCTGAATAGACGACGATGGCCGTGTTACGATCACTGAACAAATGCTATCCGCCGTTCCCGCCATCCAACGGTGTCTCTTAATTTGTGGAATGGTGTATCGTTTGGAAGGTTCCAATACTAACATCTTGCGTATTAGGCTTTCACAATCTTTAATACGAAATTCGATCGGCGTGAGCAGGAATATTAACAGAAATATTAAATGTACAAAATGTATAATATATTTAAGTAAATACCTGTACTCATAAAGTAAGGAATTCTAAATCTGCCACTTAACACGCGATCTCTCAATGATTGAAGAGTCGATCCGTCAAAGGGCAACGCGCCACACACCAACACATACAATACAACGCCCAGACTCTACAAGAATGAGATTTATTTCAAATATGCAGTCAATGTAAATCTGTTTTTTTTTTTTTTTTATAATTTTTCTCTCTGATGAAACTCACCCACACATCGATTTCGGGTCCAGCGTAGTGCTTTCCTCGGAAAACTTCGGGAGCGGCATAAGGCGGGCTGCCGCACCACGTGCTCAATCGTTCTCCCGGGGCAAATCTGTTACTGAAGCCAAAATCGGCGATCTTTACGTTCATCTGAGCGTCGAGAAGTAAGTTCTCCGCCTTCAGATCACGATGCGCCACACCCGTTACGTGGCAATATTCGACCGCCGAGAGTATCTGGGCAAATGTCGCACGTGCTCTGGGCTCTCCCATTCTTCCGTATCGCGCGATGTAGTCGAATATCTCACCTTTGCTCGCGTATTCGCACACCTGCAACAGCGACGATGATGTCGTCATTGTCGAAAAAACACAACAGCTGTTTTAGTGGCAGTTTCATCGTCCTTACCATGTAAATCATGTTCTTCGTTTCCATAACTTGATATAATTTAACGATATGCGGATGCTCTAATTGCTTCATAATTTCAACCTCTCTATAAACTTTTTCTAAATTAGTAGGATCTAATTGAGTCTTATCGATTATTTTGATAGCCACCTATTAAAAAAGAAATCACACCTCTTTAGACAATATCGAAATTATTGTTATGGTAGGAAATGCGTGCACACGTACCTCTGTTTTCGTGATTCGATGTCTAGCTAATTTTACAACGGCAAAATTGCCTTTGCCGATAGTCCCTTCGATATCGTAAAATCCCACGCGGATTTGCTTTTTACCCTGTGTAGGTCCAGTATCCATATTCACGTCGATGTTTCTTTCCACTCTCTTGCAAATTCTTATAAACTAATTCTTCTTCCCAATGTTTTATCCCTAATCTGCAAAAATCGGAGCATACTTTAAGAGGGGAATATTTTTTTGTAATCTGTTATTTCTGACATATCTAATGTGTTTTCAACAAGTGTCGCTTTTTCCTTAATTATTTTAATCGTTAAAGATAAAATCATGAAGATAAAAGTGATCGGAACAAACAACTAAAGCGGAAAGAAAGAGAGATAATAATTATAATATTTTTGAAAAAAAGTCATTAGCAATTAAATGTAATTTTTCACGACATGATATGAAAATTCAGGGTATGAAAATTTTGCAATTACGACATTCATTGTTCATATTATCGTGACATTTTCGTGGCATTTTTCCAATTATGTCCTTTCTTCCTTATCGTCTAATTTTAATTTCTTTACGCAGCCCCCTTTCTTTTCCTGCTCAACATTTATATATTATATGTAAAACTTTTTTTTAACATATTGTGTCTGTGCAAGCAATTACGCGACGCGCAAGCGCCAATAAAAATTCATAAAGTCCCACTTGAAAAAGTCTGACGAGCACGATTTTAAAGTCCAGTAATTATTGCCTTCGCGCGTAAGATTTTTTTTTTATACGCCTACAGATGTAATTTTTTTTTTACTTTGTGCCGTATGAGTTGCGAGGTATCTCGAATGATATTGACGAATGTCTAACACATGATAATTACTTATCACACATTCGTCACACTGACGCGAGTCGCAAGGCTGATCCAGCATTGAAGACAGAGCGCGCGATATCCCGGAAGGACATCGCACCGCAGACGCAACAAAAGAAACAACAAGAGGGAGAGAGAGAGAGAGAGGGAGAGAGGAGGGAGAGCGAGAGCGACGGACGTTCTCAAGGAGAGAACACGCGTCAAGGATTCATCGTCGGCGGAGTACAAAGGCCCGGCCGCAACAAGTACGGTAGATATCCTCGACTGACGTCATGCAGATCGACAACGACCTCCTACCTATCGAGAGAAGAGTCACCGCCAGATCGATCGTCGTCGATACTCCTGGATAGAGAGAACCCCGCGTCGGACGAGGTCGCCGACGACCAGGTGCAATCGGACGATCTCACTGGAGACTCGGACGAATCTAATGGCGATGGCGCGAAGCTGATCTAAGGGTGGCAACCCTCTTGTTTTTCTCCCTCGATTACTCACCTTCCTGGCTCGAGAATTATCGAGGATCGCCCGCGAGAACGGGGGTCGCCCGGTGAAGGCGTTTTACGAAACGAGCGGCAACGACGGCGACGAGGACGTGCTCCGGGGGTGCGCGGCGGGCCATCGGTGAGCGCCGGACGTCATGGCGCGCGCGCGCGCTTGCCAGATATCCGGCGGGTCCGTCCACCACCTCGAAACGAAGCGAAACTTAGCGGAGCCGTGCTCTCTCTCGCGAGCCTCAATACGCGAGACTCAACGTAGGGAGCTCCGCACGGCTCGGCGGTTCGATACCGACTGACCGACGGCCATGTTACCACCCCCCCGGTGCTGCTCCGGCGGTGTCGGCGCCCTCGCCGCCCCCTCGTACACCGTCACCCCGGCCATTCTTAGCGAATCACCCCTCTCTTCGCTTCCTCTTTCTCTCTCCCTCTCTCTCTCGTTTCCTTCCCTTCCCCGCTCCCGCTCTCCCCCACCCCTCCCTCCGCCACCGCGTAATCTACGTCGGTGCACCCGACACCCACCACTACAGCGATTACTATCGCTCGCGCCCGCGCGCCGTTATCTTCGACAATTGACGTCACGCACGTACGCGCGCGCGCTCGCGACATGTCCGTCTCATCACATTAATTGTTTCTCGATGTGTATATAATTGTACGGCAAGTAGCGGCACATAGCACGTGACCGAGCGGTCATATATGCGCATCTAATCTCGTAGTTCGCGATCGAAAATGTTTCGGTTCAATAAAATGGAATGTAAAACGTCGATGTCCTATGTGACCTAAGGCCTCCCGAAGCGCTTTACATAAAGAGTAGGTTGCATAATATGTACATTACGGCTTGCGTATAGTTAGCGAGTTAATATTGAAAAATTGCACGGCACCGCGCATTTTATCTCGGGACCTATTATAAATAACCGGATTATGTTTGTGCGATTATAATCGTTGGTATGACGTCCGCGAATTTCTGGGTCGTTTACGATGAAAAATGCACCGAGCGGAAAGCCAGACACTTTCTCGAACGACTAATGAGAGACGCGATATGTAATTTCCCGAGTAATGTTCCCGCATACATTGCTAATCTCGGCTCTCGGTCTCGTTTTTCTCTCTCCTCGTGTTTATCTCGTCTTTTAAGGGGTCCTCGATGATTGATGATTATTATTGATATTCTCAGCAATATTGATAATATAAACTCGTGTGTGTATAAATTTCATAGAACTGTCATTAAAACTTGGGAAAGTTTCAGGATGCTATATATAATTCAATGTTATTTTAATTGACAGATATGTGTATGTGTCACTTGTATAAATGTGATTTATCAGTCTTCTAAAATAAATCTTATTAATTCGATCATTAAGTGATGCAAGACAAATGATTGTTTACGAAATGATAAAGCAAGTTATTAAAAGCAAATTATTAAAATCATGGAATTGGATTCTTTGTATTATTTTATGCATAATAGTTTATAAATATAAATGTAATTTATTAATTTCTCGTAGAATTAAATTTAGATTTGATTAAATCACGGTAGCATCTTTAACTTGGCGATAAATTTTAATCGAAAAACAGTCAATTTTTTTACATCGGTTGAGGAATCTGTCATTGATAGTAAAATCAAAGATACTGATGCATTTGTACACGTTATAGTCGCATGATAGTCATATCCATGGATTGATAGTAGCGTAATAAATCCATATTGATGACTCGCTTTGAAAATAACAGTGATTTACATGGGGAGATTTTATTATTCACTCTGTTTTCCTATCAGATAGGGTATTTTGGGTTGAAGGAAACGAGCATGTGATTCGATCGGTATTATGATGTTCGTGTTCGTCAGTGCTGCATCGAATCCGTCCGACTGAAATAGAAACTATAATAACGCTAACATAAATGTCATTCATCAGAGCAGAACGGGGCATAGTTGTTGAAACGCACATCATCTTCGCCGATTTTTCCTTTCTACTTTCATAACGCCAATTTCGCCGAGGACGTAACGTTTTCGTATGAAAAGTAAGCAAGAATAACATACAGCTGTACTTAAAGTTTCTCTCCGATCTTCGAACCAGGAACGAATTAATCAAATTTGCAAAAAATCCTTGCAAATTTTACGAAAAAGCCGATAATTATAATTACAGTTATGCAAATGCATTTTGACGATCTAGGATAACTTTAGTATGAATATTTATTAAAACTTAAATATCGAAAATATTAAATCAGCAAAATATATAAGTACATACGAGAATATTATACACAGATAAAATATGCGAGAGCTAAGTAAACGATAAATAAGATGGAGATTTAAAGAGAAAAGAATAATGGAGAATGAAGATTTATATATAGAAAATTATACACATACAGATGCGCATAATTCGGCTCCTTTCATCAATTTTTAAATTATATTTCGTGGAAGATCGAGATAATTTACAATGATTGCGGTGGTATTTTTTTGTTTGGATTAATTGACGTCAATTGACTTTTGTCGGTAATATTTCAAGCATCGAGCGATTCACAACGTCTCTGTAAAGTATAACGTCTGAATAATATCTTTTCTTTAAGCATATTTATATTATATCCCGATAAAATTTATTATTCCTTAGTGACGTAGAGACTAATATCACTCTGCCTCAAAGATTATATAAATAATTCCGAGCTCGGAATAAAAAATCACATGAAGTATTGTCCGTATATTACTAAAGCAGCACTTGTGTTAAGTAGATGTGACTGTGAATTAGTCAGACTTTTAACTTATTGTTAGAAAATCGATAGTTTTTATAATCTATATCTATTATATTTATTTGTCAAGATTAAATTAAATAAAAGTCTAATATCTATCAAAAATAATAATAATATATTATAAAAATATATCATATTTTATCTTACAAATAAATTATTTGTATTATAAATAACTAAAATAGTATATTTTATATATATATATATATATATATATATATATATATAACAAATTAAATAATTGTAATGTAAATAATTAAATAATTGCTGAAAGAGAAATGCTATATTACGACATAAATATCAGTATTCAATAACAAATATTTCCAAAAAAGATGTCCATTAATTTTCAAGCAATTAAACATATTTTTTATGAAACTTTGCGTGTTTTCAATAATTTCATATTTATATAAATCTCGAAATTATTTGCATCGATAAAATAATTTTGTTCAATTTTAGCCGTTTGACATATGCCAAAAATTAACGTTCTAAATTTTTTTCACAAGTGTGGCGTGTTTTTGTGATGCACAATTTTAACGAAACACGTTTCGACATCTATCTCATCGAATTCGCAGGTGTTCTCTGTTACGAATGTAATGCGATCGTGCAAAAGAACCGTTCCGCCGTTTTAACGGTGAATCTCTTAAATTATAGCGAGTACGAAGCGGAACGCGAAACGGTTGTCTACAAAGTCGGGCAAGATTGCACACGTGTACATTGTGTCTAGTTTAAGTATCACTGCAATTATTTTTTTAATTATTAGACATGAAAAATAAGATATGTGTATTGTGTACATGTATTAGATAAAACTTACGTTAAAAATAATATATTATAATATATTCTCGACATATCTAATCAAATATGTAATAGACTATGACGTCAGAAGCAAAAAGTATATGCAAATAATTCTTGCAATTTACCTTTATTTGTTTCATCTGACGGCGGTCGCTTTGAGCGAAGTAAATTCTATATGTGTTCAAAGAATTAGATTGACGTCTTTACCAATTAATGAAATAATTGCAATTAAAACGTATGTAGACTATAGATTGCTCTCTCTTTCTACCGATCAAGTCGTCGATGGAACGGTTCAAAGAAGATTGGAGATAATTGATGATGGTCGCGTGTCTGGCCATAGTTCAATCGATTCTTCCAGTTTTTTCTTTTTTTAGAAAATTGACGTCAGACGTACATTTTCGTCAGGAAAGCTTCTAATGCGTCGTCGGCGCTGCTTAAATCGCTTCATATATCTTCTGTATTTTTATATCGGCGCAAATCACGTTTTTATGAACACGCAATAAAGCTCTATTTCGAGATGACATTTCCCTCAGGTGAGTTTCACAGAGGTCGATCACTCGAGAAGTTCCCCTAGTTGAATCTCATCGCGTCCCAATTTGTCTTTCTACATTTTACAAAACAAAATTATATTTCGAGATATATATCTCTCAAAGTTTCGAAAATTCTATTTACTTGCAAATGCTTCGTATAATTTTCGAGAAACGGCGTAGAATATTGAATCTCCTTTTTCAGAGAGCAACCATAAGCCACGCTTTCCATACATTTTCTAAAACTCTTTTTATTCGTGGAGTTTCTATCGAATGTAATATAATTTCAACACGCAAGAAAGATTTATTTCTTAAAAAGAGAAATCTCTCTTACATAATAATCTTTTACGATAAGTTATTATTTTAAATTCTTTTTTATACACTTTTATTCGATCTCTCTTATCAAGTTGCATATATGCATAGTTGCAATAATTTTTCCTCAAATTAATAATAATTGATTGCATCAATTTTAATTATGTTTTTAAATGCATTAAATATAGTACATTGCATTTTTTTATTATTCCAATTTTTTTTTACAATGAAAAAAAAATATTTCTTTTTATATAATTTATTCACCAAATTTATTTTCTTTCTTTTTATCTTCTTTCTTGTATTTAAAATACAACTTTAAAATGCATCGCAATGTCGAGAGATATTTAAGCTCGATATAGAGAGATATTCGAAAACTATCGAGTTATTATAAAAGAAACATTTGAGGAAAATTAATAATCTTCTTCCTATAGAAATGAAAACAAAGTTAAATTCGAAAACAGCAGAATTGAATTATTGAATATCTGTTGAATATCTGCTATTTTATTCTCAACAATTTTTATGATATGGAAAATGAAATATAATAAACTTTTTCATCGCTCTTAAAAAGCTTTCTCACTTTTCTCACTTCTAAAAAACATTTTATATAACAACGCATATCGTCCATTCATTCAAAATTCAAAGAATATTTAAAGAGAACACATAAAGAATATTAATCACGCATCTTATTATGCGTAGAAATTCGTCCTTCGTGTACTCAACTAACGCATACGCTCTTTCTTGTCGTAGGTCGCGACTCGAGACGGTCCTTTTCGTCGCGACATCAGAATTTTCATGGTCGGACGAATCGATAGTATGCCAAGGAAAGACCATGAGAACCGACTTCCTTGTTAGTTGACCCTCATCATAAAAAAAAGACATTCCAAATGAATAAGTCAGACGATGGCAATGAGATAATACTTGTCAATATGCGAA